AAACCTCGCATTTGCTTTTGATTTTTGCCCAAAACACCCCGTACTGAATAAGGGGTTCACTTAATGACCATATGACCCACAAAAAGTCATACAATTGGGTCGATCACAAGATGGCTCCTTTTATGACCATCACTACCCCAACTGGCAGGCTCCATTACGGTCATAAGCTGAGGACTATCTGTATCAGTGCTGTGCCTCTGATATACAAGCAGGTTGGAAGGGCAGCAAGACCATTAGATTCAGTAGCAGCAGCAATTTGGATTTAACCCTCAGGTCAGTTTTCTCCACACCTCTTTCCGTTCTTTCCCATGTAGGAGATTGTAATTGTTGGGAAAGTTATACTGAGAAGTTGGGAGCAAAGTTTCCCCTGCTCCATGTCCACTTCCAAGGTGGGATGTCTACCTATGAGACTGGCACCACTTCAACTAATGCTAGGATTCTTTCCTAGAAATTGAAGTATTGATCACCAAAGCAATCATAATCTTCACATAACCAAAAAATAAAACTAAAGGTATCATGAAGAATATTTTAAAATATCCTATATCAGTGAAGTCATCTAAATGTAAGCATAGAGGAGTAAGATTTATAACGTTTAATATAAAATCTGTGACACAAAAGTCTGAAAGAAATAAAATGTATTTGCTTCATTATATTAAATTATATCAGCATAGGAACTAACATGTTTTCTAATGAATCGGGCTGAAAAGGTACTTTTTCACTGCTACCCAGCCTCTTTTCATACTAACGGACATTTGGACACAGATTTCAGAATATAATTTTAAGTTATGCATAAAATAAGTTGATCTTTCTCATAATAGCTTCTTAAGCCCTGCAGGATTTTACAGGATTTAAAACCAACCTTTTGAACCAGGCCTTGATATGAAAACTAGGGGAAATGATGAGTTATATACTAGTAGCAACAACTTGATTCATAATTCCTAGGCAGAATTCTAGGAGCTTTACTGTATATTAACTGAATTGGCTAGAATGTAATTAAAACCCATTTAATGTACAAGGCATTGCAGCATGCAACTTAAATGGGAGATTACTACAGCATAGTCCAGGGGTAGGGAACCTTGGCTCTTTTATGACTTGTGGACTTCAACTCCCAGAATTCCTGAGTCAGCATGGTTGGTTCAGGAATTCTGGGTATTGAAGTCTACAGTCATAAAAGAGCCAAGGTTCCCTACCCCTGGCATAGTCCATTAAAACCCATCCTTCTTTATCAAGGTAGAGTCACCAGTGGCTTATTAGCATGAGCTAGGAGAACAAGTTGAACAGGACTCAGCAGAACACCAAAACCATTCCTCAGTAGTGCTTCTATCTCATGTAGATTAAATTTCAGTATGTTGCCCAGGTGAGCAATTATGGCCCCTTTATGACCTGTGGACTTCAACTCTTGCTTTAAATTCACTGATTCATATAGCAAATTAATTTATTTTCCCATAATCATAAACCTTTTACAAAGTTCCAAATCTTCTGTTCCTTTGGTCATCTGGTTTTAAATCAACATGATCAGAGACTATATATTTATTTGTGTAGTTTATATAACTGCTCATTTCACAAAACAAGTGATTCTATCAATAGCCTAGATTTTTCAGTGGCAACAAGTTAGAAAAAGACATTTATATATATGATAAAAAGAAAATAACCAGTGTTTCAGATTTTAGATTTTGCCCAAGGCTAATATACTTTGTAAGAAGTAGACTGTAACAATTCAAAAAATAGCAATAAAAGAATAATTTACATTGTTATATCACAGTCATATTAGGAGGAATGGAATTAATATAACTGGAGGCAACAAGCTGCCTATCTAAAAAATTAACAACACAATTTTTTGCAAATTCATTCTGAATACCCTACGGGGTTCTCTATGTATGTCTAGCAGTCCAACTTTATAATTAATACAAAAGTTTGAAAGAATTAGTCACAGGGAATTATTTTTTATTTAGGTTTATAGGCCATTTCAGCTGCACATGACTCCACTGGGATAAATTGTCATGCCATAAGAAAAGATTAAAACAGTGGGGATCATAACATCAGTCTAAACAAACTATAATACTAATAATAATTTTTCTATTAACTATTACACATCCATACAAGTAAGAAACTACCTTATATCAACTTAGACCATTGGTATAGAACTCCATAGACAAACTTGAAATAAAAGTTCAGGCAAAAATATTTCCAATCTTTCCTAGAACAAATAGGAATTAAATTTGAAAAAGTTTGCATGTAAAACATGTGATTTACTGTTACTTTTAGCTGTTTCTTCAAATTGCTACTCACTGCAATAATATTGGTCTATATTAGATTTATTATTGCATATTTTTACATTCCCATATTTGCCATCAACTTCTCTCACATTTAGCTTCTGAAACAAAGTCACTAGTAATAGTATGCACTGCAGTCAATTCACTTCATAACTATATCTTTCAATAAGCAAAACAACTTTTCTTAAAATGAAATTAGATAAATTCTATTGCTTGAGACACCTTTAATTAATATTTGCAACCTAATCCATATGGATGTTCTCTTAACACTTCTACAAATCTTTTTATTATTTTACTGCAACAATAACATGGCTACTATGCACACACACATACACACACAATCACACACACTTGCCGATATTCATGACTATTCCAGCACTTTCCCTAAGCAGAAGAATAAAAGGCTGACCAAATAAACATTCATTAATCAGGTCAGGACAAGATAGAATGCCTATTTTGAAAGAACAGGGTTCTGCTGATTGTCTGGGTCTTGGGGAAAACAATATAGTACTTTTGCACTGATGTATTAATGTTTGGATGGCTTCCCAGCTCTCTCTTCAACCACCATGGCAGAAGTGTCACAGAAAAGCTTCAATGCGCAGATGCTTCAAAATAAGACACACAGACCACTTTATGGTGCATACATGAATCCAGACTGCAGAATTAAAGAAAGAGGCAAGTAGACCTGGCTCAGAGGAACCAGATCATCCTGCTGCAGGTCCCCACATGAGAATGCTTCTTTTCTTTCAATGTTATCTGTACTCATGTGCAATATTACTCAGACTCACTTGCACACCTAATCATGTCTTTATACAAATCTGCCTGAACATTTCAACATCCATTTATTTTCATGTCTGCATGAATTTCTCTTGCATGATCACTGATGCTTGGCCTACATTTCCCTAGGCTCAGCTGGGGAGTAATGTGCAAACTTGGACCCTGCAGAATGAAATCACTGTCACAATTTAACATTATACAGATGGCAATTCTGCTAAAAACTATGGTTTCACAGGTGAATTTAACAATTAAATGCATCATCAGAACACATATTTGAAGTGTAAAATGGATAATTCTTGCTTGAGAAAAAGAGAGATATTCTCACAGACTATCAAACTGCACTTCCAAATTTCTGTAGAAAATCAGATGCTGTGAAAAACTCAGTTCAACAGAACAAAATGTTTTCATCACTGAAAAATAAATAAGTCTCCAATTTGGATCCAAACAAAATCTTACAATATAGCAAGCTATTTGATTTCTTCCAGAATTCATCGTTATATTTCCCATGAAGTAATGGAGTAATCAATCAACATATGGACATTACTTTTAAAACATGTATTTAATACATTTCTGTCCACTTTTTCAACATTAAAAAGCTCTATATGTATATTCTTGATATTTTAGTACAACCTTTGAATGCTGGAAAAGTATTACTCTCCTGATGTTTTAAACTATTTTTAAACTGCTACTAATGTTTTCCCATCTGCAGTGCTTTCCAGTACCAAAGATCTATTACTTTATGAGAATTAAGAATGCTTTAAATGTACAAAACATCGTGATGTTTGTTTTTATTAGGGAAACAATAACAAGCATTTATATTGTATTGAACATGGTGGATAAAGCATCAATTACATAACTATTTTAATTTATATTCTAACTGAATGCAATTAGAATAGGTGCACTTTGTGCTTAAGCATGAAGAATTGTGTCTTTGTAGGCACACATGACATCAATATGACAAGTGTACATGAAATAGAAGCAGATAGAAATATTTGGGTTTTTTTTCATAACTCAAGCCAGACATATTCCTGACAATCCGTAGCTTTGAGGAAACTACTTGTGGCTCCTTACCCACAAACCATGTCCATTCCTTTTTTTTTTTTTGCATGCCACTCATCCCATCTTTTGCTGGGTAATCAGCATCCCATTCATGTTTCTTGGCTCCCCTCTCTCTGATACTAGCCTGCACTACGGCACCCTTTGTGAAAGCAAGTCCTCATCCAGTTGATATGCACATGCTTTTCTCTTCACCTCCATCTTCTTGCCATATTCATCTTCCTACACTCTAGCTCAAATGTCCAAACATGGAGAGATTTCTCCATTCCCTATCTTAAAAAATTATTTAAGCTTGAATGGTCCCCAATCCCATATTTCTAGAAATCGCCATTAGATCTTATCAGAGCTCCGCTTGATACAACATCAAAGCCATAGCATAAACTGAACCTATTAGCAACATTCTCAAAATAAAATGTTTGGTTCTGAAAAAAAGGGGGGTCATCCAATGTGCTCTGAGTTGCATCTCTCCTAACCTCGAAAACATGTTATTTCCTCAACATTAGGAGCACATGGCAAACTCAGGCCAAGCCACCTTTCTTTTTTCCCCATATGCACTATTCTCAACAAGATACCCCACTAGACCTAGCCTTCTTCTGCAGCACAGTTATAAATCGTCCTAGTGCACCCCAAATTCCTTCCCTCTTTTCTCATAGGCTCCACGGATTGCGTCTTCCCTTTTACTATAGAGCTTTTGCTCTCAGCTCCGGTTGATACTCAGCAGGGCGACACGCTCCGCAGCATGGGTTCCCAGCTGCACTTCGCCCTTAATCCCCCGCTCCTTCCAGCCCAAACTAGTACACAGCCTCCATCCTCCTGGGCTTAGTCAACCGAAGTTGCCCCCGCGCGACTTCTCCTGTGATACTTCGCCCAGCCCGGATAGTCTGTGGCTCCCACCTGGCGGAGGGTCCGTGAGGCTGCGCGGGGCCCGGTGCAGCAGCAGGCGCCCTGCCCGGTGGGAGCTGTCCTCCACTGCTTGGTGCTGAAGGTGGCTTGGCGGATCCAGGCGAGGTGGAGGGACCCGCGGCTAGGCCGGGGGGTAGCTGCCCCTCGGCTCCCCCGCCCTCTAGGCTGGCCTCATTGCCCATGGCGAGGCAGCAGCGGTCGGATGGAGACAGGCTCCCTGAGCGTCTTCAGCGCAGTGCTGCCTGCGCCGCCATCAGCCTAGCACCACCATCTCCGGCTGCCCCATCCGCACTGAGCATGCGCTTAGCTGAGCGCGAGCCCAGCACCCAACCCTCCGAGAGGACGCGCTTCACGGGGGCGCGCGGCGGCGCGCGGCCCCGGACCAATAGGCGGGCGCAGAGTTCCAGCCAGCCCCTCGCCGGCACGTGCAGGGCCTCGCCAACGGTTGCTTGGTGGTTCGTTTTTCCCGCCGGCGCTTGCATGCAAAAGGTCCGGATTGCAAAACACAAAACACCAGGCAGCCGGAACAGACCCACCCGGACCGAAGCAGCCAAACCCGGAATGGATTGTCTCGCTGTCCTTTTGCTTTTGGGGGCGCTCTTCATTGGAAACTCACGCTATTCGGAGTTCTCTCGCTCAAAACAGCCCTTCAGACGCATAGATCATGTGCCCAGCCAATAGCTTTTAACGGGACACTTTAACTGTTGACAAATGGACCCTATCGCATGTATAATCTTGATCATTTTTACTAAACATGGCGTACTTAATCCCCCTCTTTGTGACTTTGTGAACACAACAATATACTTTACTACTAGCACTGTTTATATTCCCTTTCGAATTGGATACCCTCCAGAAATGTTGGACCTCAGCTCCCATAATTTCCAACCAGAATTGCTGAAGAGCTGACAGAATTACAGATACTGATGTCCAGCATGTCTCGAGGGTAGGAAGTTTGATATAAAGTTTCTGCAGGCATACTGTACAGGACTAGGTGTGAATAGCAAATTCACACATAAAAGGAGAAGGGCAATTAATATGTTTTTAGCTACCAAATTCTGATTTCTAAAAAAATAAAAACTGCAGATGGACTTCCTCTGAACTGAATTCTTGATTACTCTGTATCCTGGATATTGTGTTCTCAGGTGAACTGTATATTACTAATAAATGATTATTTTTCCTTAATTTCAATACCTGTCAGAACTTTTTCCTGTTTCTATAGGGTTTTTGCAGTACTTCTGCTGATATTTAAAGTAACTAATAGTAAGTAATAACTGAATCATCAATCACTTTTACAATTTGGTGTATACCACATCTCATTCCTATTTGTTATATTGCTTTTAAAAAAACTTGAATATTTATTTTGGATTGAGAAAACAGATTAATACTAGGATTAATTACAAGTAGTTCTTGATTTACAACAGTTCATTTAGTGACCGTTCAAAGTTCAAACAGCACTGGAAAAAGTGACTTATGACCATTTTTCACACAACTGTTGCAGCATATCAAAATTCAGATCTTAGCAACTGACTCATTTTTGATGCTTGCAGTGTCCCAGGATCGTGTCATCACCTTTTCCGACCTGACAAGCAAACTCAACGAGGAAGCCATGTTACTAATTTAACAACTGCAGTGATTCACTTCACTTAATATATCCATACCATAACACTTGTGGCAAAAAAGGTCATAAAATGGGGCAAAATTCACTTAACTGTCTTGCTTAGCAACAAATTTGGGGCCCAATTCTGATCATGTCGAGGACTATCTGTAATATTAGGCAAATTCTTTGGTTTGGGAGAACTATTGAAATGCTGCCATCACTTAATATATTCATACTATAATCCATTTGGATTGAATGTATTTAGCTGTAACCAACATGATAGTATAGATATAGACTGCTGTCTAAATTATAATAGGAACAAATAATCTAATAAGCAATGTCTGTGAATACACCCCTTCACTGTATGTGGTATTATTGTAAAAAGAAGTATTTCATTATGGATAGGACTGCAATATTTTGTTAATTAACTTTTTTTCCCAGTGGGGAAGCCAGCATAATCTATTGCAATAAAAACAAGAGCCTTTTGATCCCTTATAGTCTAATGATTTATAGATATTGCATTTATGGCATATGAGGGGACAATGTTCATATTGGTGGTGATAGAAAGTATTAATAGAATGATTTAGGGAGAAATGAAATGTAAGAGATCAATACAGTGGTCTTATTTTTGGATGCATTTTTGCATTGATGTCACAATAAACATACTTAATGTAATACAAAACCATGGCTTCTGTTTAATATTTGAGGAACAGCATTAAATGTAAAGCATAAGAAGGAAAGTAGGAAATCAACTGTGAAGTCAAATGGCCACAAATGTTAGAGCTAGATGAGGGAAAATAAGGCTTTGAGGCATAATCAGATTAAATCAACAATATAAAAGAACATACATGATCAATTCAACTTATTCCGTGCCACATTACAAAGAAAAAGTATTTACAGGAGTATTATTGTATTATTCATTCTATGGTATCATAGAATGAAGGGCGCTGCAACATGCCCTAGTAAAGGTCCACTGGTATTTTTGATGTATAGGTGTATGAAAATAGAAAATTATTAACTCTCCTGCTAAATACTAATAGCATTTTGAAAAGGCTGGATAATTAGTTCTGGTTATGTTGTACAATAACTCCATTTCTAGGGATCATCATCCAATCATATTTTTTTGCCTAGGGACACTCACAGTTATATAAAGCAATCCAGGAAAGGCTGCATGAAATCAGTTTCTGCTTGAGTGACTTCTTCCTGGTATATTGGAAGGCTTCACTGAAAACAGTGGAGCAATCCAATCTGATCCTTTGCCCCTCCCTCAACAGACATGTTGGTGAGGCCTATTAGACAAATAACAGTTTTGACAAACTAGATTAGCCACAGCTGTGGGCTGGACCAGAACTTTCCAGCAGAGTGCAGGGGTTTTCTATGGGGATCTGATATGCAACAGCAGTGGATAATCTGCCTTTCGGATTGCCTGCTCTCTGCCTTTTTAGATTCTCTTGTTTATTTGCAACTAAGGCAAACAACATAAAGAAGCCAAAAGAATATAACTTTTATAAATCTCCTGTGAACTCAGTTAAAGGAAAATCTATGCAATGGCAGCCCAGTAAATTAGTACCCAAGGAAATAGGATGCCATTATTGTTAGATCAGCTTGATTTCAACAGGGAATATACAGGACAAATGTTCCATGCATTTGACACTGAGCTACAAATGTTAATAGGGTATAAAAGATAAACTGGTATATATAGACGGCATAATCATAGTAGCTATATCTCATTTAATTGTAATTAAATTTAAACATACATGAAAAGAAATACATTTTTTTATACTGACTCCAACCCTTTCAATGCCGCTCAGCATTTAACTCAAAGACAATATGCATTTGGGTCTAGAAAAGTCCCATCTACAGTATATAAATGTATGGCTCCAGATTTCCAGCCGAGCCATCTGGGTTTAGAATATTGATCCAGCATTAATGTGGAAATAGGTCATGTTAGCTTTCTTTCCATTCTTAGTAACTATACTGAAAAAGTGGTTGACTAAAAGAGTATAAAAATTTAAGCAGCTTAACACTGTGTGATCTCCATTTCAGATACTGCCCCTGGGTATTCCCAGCTATAGAAATTTTCCAGATTAAGTTTCCACATCATTGCATCTCTATGCCAGAAATGACTACATCTGTGGAACTTCTGACACGATAGTGTCCCAAAGCGCAGGAGCATAGCAAGGACCAAATGTGGCAATCTTAAGAGTGATCACCTGGGAGATACCATTTGCCTGGCTAAATTACCTGAAAGGAATATTGAGCATGGCCTCTCTATGTAATCAGATGCCAAATGGCTCAATTGATGAGGAACTTTGTAACAAAATGCAGAGAATCCATTTGTATAATTTTATCCAGATGCTGCCATAAAAGATGACACTTTAAAGACATCTCCCTCTTGCTATAAACAAATAAACAAAACATGTCTAAATTCAAAAATATATTGCTCTGCCTATGAAAGCCAATGGAATTGGTCACTCATTGGCCATCGTTGATTGTGGTGTGAAAGGATGACTTGCAATATTAAGATAGCTTTCTATCGATTAAATGATATCGATTATTCCTACCAAATCAGTGCCTTTTGGATATATTCAACTAAAACTCCCTAAATCTCCACATATCGTCTCTCATCATTCCCAGAAACCAGGGCAATAGAGATCTGGCAAGGGATTACAAAGTTATAACCTATTGATTCCATTCAAATTATATAAACAAATTGATAAAGGTTGATATTCTATGGAATAGTCAAAGAAGCCATGTAAACCTGAAAAACTTCAGTAATAAAGAAGATCACAATCTCAGCCTACCTTTATTTAGGAGTAACTCTTATTAATCCTAAGAAGTTTTACTTCTAAATAAATATGTTTCAATTTATTACCTTAAGATATCTAAACTTGGTAAACTAACTCCATTGAACATATATTGATATATTTGGCAGGTCTGTAAATTTGAACTGATGCTTAAATCTAAGTGGCATAAAATAATTTGCTAAACTGCTAATTTCCCACACGCTTAAACTGTCTTTTATTAAACACTGAAATTGCCTGCCAAAAACAATGCAACACATTTTATTCATTGCTTAAAGCATTACATTGGTATTTAACTTTCTATAATAAAACTTTCAGGTAATTGTTGAGTGACATGCCTCACAATTTTATAGGAAAACAATTTTTCACTTCACTGATTATCTTAACACATTCTGTGAAGGGCCATTATTTAAGTATAAGCACTTCTAATTAGCCACCTGTATTGCAAGTTTTTGAAACATGCTTCTCTCAAACTCCTGGTCTGTGATAACTAAAAGACTTTTTGTCAAAGAGCCAATAAAAAGCATGTTGATAGTTTATGGAATAATAAAATCAGTCCCTGTATATATCACTACTATACTATTTCAGATTTCCCACCACCCTACTCCTCCAGAAATAAAATGCCAGAAAATACATTTAATGGTCAATGAAAAGAAATTGACTATTTTTACTGGGATTAGAGCAAAAGGAGACAGGAAATTTGATTCTTCCCCCATAGTTGCAATGGGGGCATAGATCTGCTTCATTCAGTTACGATGCCTAGAAAAAGCTAATGCCAATGGCATCTAATTCCAGTATGCACAAAGCTGGTATTCGGTATCACTTAATTTGCTTCCAAGCAGGTTGTCACTTTCCAAAGAGGACTTTACATGTGAAGCAGTTCTGAATCAGGTCAAAATTACAGAGATTTGTATAGCTCCCTTCCCTCTTGCAAAAAAAAAAAAAGATATCAAAATGGGAGAGTGGGTTGCTACAGTATATATCA